AAACAACTATTTATAATTTACATATTTTCATAAAATTATAAGGACCTCAAGTCAGAATTTATTTAATTCTTTTGCCTTCCATCGTTCCCAGCATGAGGCTCTTCTCCAGGGAGTCCTTCCTTCTCATTAGGTGGCCAAAGTCTTTGAGTTTCCTCTTTAGGATCTGGCCTTCTAAAGAGCAGGGAGGGTTGATCTCCTCTAGGACTGACCAGTTGGATGGCCTTGCAGTCCAAAATTGGGGTTAGGAGCAATTTTTTTATTTCACCCAGCCTTTGGATGGAGAAAGATTAATGGACAGTAATAGGGTGTCTGGTTGTATGCATGTGTGGGAATCTAAGAAAAATAAGAAGAACCAACCTAGAATCAAGTATTTCTTTATTCCGTATACATAAGACACACATAGAGAAATCGCTGGGATTTGGAAACATGATTTCAAAAAGTGGAGGCTCAGATAATTCCCACCCACCTACCATATTTTATTGTGCAGCAAAAGGATTTTAAAAATTACTTTGTGAAGGAAACGGAAGGGAAACATAAGAAAGAGAGGGAAAGGAAGGAAGGAAGAGAAAGAAAGAATGGAAGGAAGGAGGAAGGAAAGAAGAAAGAAAAGAAAGAAAGAAAGAAAGAAAGAAAGAAAGAAAGAAAGAAAGAAAGAACCTTTGTTTTCTAGAATCCAGAATTTTCAAAGCAACCATTGACATCAAACAGCTGGTGAAATTTGGACAAAGAGTAAAGCATGGGTACAAATTCTCAGCTGCTTATCTGCTTGAACCCTGAAAGAAACCCATTATTTAATAATGAGCATCTAGAACTCGTTTCTAATAAACAAGCATAAACAAAGAAAGCCCACACAAATCTCCCTGCGGAAAACTCACACAAACACACACACACACAAACATACTTTTGAATGGGTCTCTCTGTATACTAACTCTCCCTGGATTTGAATAGGATGTGTATTGCTGAAGGAACTCTAACCTATGGACAATTTGACCACTTCTTATAATCATGTCCCCTTCACTTCATAGAGGCAGTTTCTGCATCGATGCTAAGAAATTCTAAGCTTGATTTTAACTAAGTATATTTTGGATGGTTGCTCCTGGAATTGAGAAGGAAGCGTCAAAATTCATACTTTAAATCAGTTACTTCGAATGTTAGGGAGGGGGGAGTTTCAAAATCATCCCTTATTTTTATTTTATATTTTATTTTTGGACCAATTTTTGGTTTTGGCCTTCCATCCCCTTATGTCAGCCCCTGATTTTAAAAGGCCTTTATCTGTCACTCTAATATTTTGCCCCAAAGTTTATAGGACGCTAAAAATGGAAGTTTTCATTCACTTCTTTTTCAAAAAAAAATATTGTGAAAAACCACTCTGTTTTGGAATTCAGGAAAATTTATTTGAGCTCTAAAAAGGTGGGGCAAAATTAACCTAGATCCCACAGATTTTAATGACATTTATATCTATTTCTGGTTAAGCCTTAAGTTTAATGATATATTTAAATTTAATTTAAATTTAACGGTACCTTTAAAAGCAACTTGCTAAAAGCACTTATATAAATGTGTGTTATAAAAAGGCTGGTTTTTAATTAAAGGCTTCCAGGAAAAGCGATATTTTTGAATGAAAAGGGGGAATCTTAACCTCTTAAAAATACACCACTTTCTTTTTCGCCAGCGTTTTAAAAGCAACTTTTCTTCATTTAAGTATGTTGACGGGTGCAAATATTTGCAGAACAATTGTCCTGCGGTATAGCTAATAATTTTCCTCAGTTTCCCCCCTCTGATTTGCAGATAAAGTTCACATTTATCAACTATTTTGAAGAATTGTCCTGCGGTATAGCTAATAATTTTCCTTAGTTTCCCCCCCTTATTTGCAGANCTCCAGTGATGGAGCACCCACAAGGTCTGGTGGCAAGTTGTTCCACTGGTTGATTGCTCTCACTGTTAGGAAGTTTCTCCTTAGTTCCACGTTGCTTCTCTTCTTGTTTAGTTTCCATCTGTTGTTTCTTGTCCTGCCTTCTGGTGCTTTGGAGAATAGTTTGATCCCCTCTTCTTTGTGGCAGCCCCTCAAATACCGGAATCCTGCGATCATGTCCCCCCCTTAGTCTTTCTTTTCTCTAGACTGGCCCAGCCCAAATCCTGCAACTGTTCTTCATGTGTTTCTAGGCCTTTAATCGTCTTAGTTGCTCTTCTTTGCGCTTCCCCCCCCCAAAAAAAAGTCTCAACATTTTTTGTGTAATGTGTGGGACCAAGACTGCATGCAGTATTCCAAGTGTGGCCTTACAAAGACTTTATAAATCAGTGCTAGAGCTTTTCATGTTTGTAACAAACAGCACTTCAAATGCAATCCAGGCAGTCCTCAACTTAGGACCAGAATGGAGCCCAAACTTTCTGTTGCTAAGCGAAGGACATGATCAAAATTTCAGCACTTGGCAACCAGCGTGAATTTACAAAGGTTGCAGCACCCTGGGTGCATGGGAGCATCCTTTGCAACCCTCCCAGTTGGCTTCCAACAAGCCAAGTCCACAGGGGGGAGAAGCCGGATTCTCTTAATGACCACATGGTTCACTCAACAACTGCGATGATTCATTTAACAACAAAACCGTCGTTAAATCAGGCGCAACTCACTCAACCACCGCCTTGCAATGGGAATTCGATTGTGGTCGCAAGTCGAGGACTCTCTGTATTTCATAATAAATTTAGGCTTCTATGGAACATCATTGGCTCTAAAGTGGAACAAGGTCAGCCAAGGGCAAACTTCTTGCCTCCTCTAGTTGCTTGGTACTACACCTCCCAAACCTCTCAGTCCCTAGGACGGCGTGGATGATGGGATATGGAATCTCCCTGGATGCACCAGCTTTGGAAAAAGGAGCACCCCTCATGTCTCACATCACTCACAGGTACGGAAAGCACATAAGGAGCAAGATGGGGAAAGCTGAGCCAGTGAGGTCTATTAAGCAGGCATCTCTGCCTTGTCATGTGTCAGGAGGGGCCCTTCTGGCCTTCTGCCCAGCTTTGATCATGCCTTAGAAAGCAGAATCTTAATGGAGGCCTTCCTTTGTAGTGGGGAACTTTAAAAAAGAAGCAAAATAAACACAGACCTACATGGTCCTCTTCTCTTCCCTCCCCTCCCCTCCTCTTCTCTCCTCTTCGCTCCCCTTCCCTTCCCTCCCGCTTCTCTCCCCTCCCCTTCTCTTCCCTTCCCTTCAACATCTATTTACTTCCTTTCTCTTTTCTTCCATTCCTCCTTCTCCTCTTTGAAAGTGTGCCTGGCTTCCTTTCCTCAGCACCAAAGTCACCTCCGTTCCAGTCATTTGAAAGGAAACTTTGATATGATCCAAGTTGTATCTGTTTTTTGGCTCTTCCTCCTCCTCCTCCTTCCTCCTCCTCCTCNAAGGCAAACGCCTTCCTTCCTTCCTTCCTTCCTTCTTTCCTTTCTTTCTTTCTTTCTTTCTTTCTTTCTTTCTTTCTTTCTTCCTTCCTTCTTTCTTTCCTTCCTTCCTCCCTCATTTCTTTCTTTCCTTTCTTTCTTCCTACTCTGGCTCTCCCGCCTCCCCCCCCCGCAAAATAGCCCACGAACATTAGCCAAGGCAACCACAAGCGATTTGATTTCTCTCCCCCTCTATTCCCCCTTTCGCGACTTGATGTGCAGCAATAATGGAGGGGTGGAGTTGGAAAGCCCACCCCCCCCCCCGCGTATGGTTTCTGTTATTAAAAAAAAAAGTCAACTGCTTCTTTTTTTGGAAAGCGAAAAGGGGGGGGTGTTGAGGCATAGCGAAAGGGGGGGGGGAGAAGAAAAATAAAGATTTCCCAAGCTTTGATTTTAGCGATTCCCTCCCCCCCCGCACTCCGCGGACCTTCTCCCCCCCCCTTTTTTTTCCTTTTTAACTTGAGAAAGATGGATAGAAACTGGGGACAGAATTCGAGAGGAGGGGCGAGAGGAGACGGGAATGGGAGAGAGTTAAGAAAGAGACGACGGGGGGAGGAGGAGGAGAAGGAAGGAAGGAAGGAAGGAAGGAAGGAAGGAAGGAAGGAAGGAAGGAAGGAAGGAAGGAAGGAAGGAAGGAATCGAAATCTTGGCGAGAGTGTATTTTTGTGCTTGCTTTGCTTGGAAGGAGAAATAAGCGGGGGAGGGAGGCAAGGAGGGAGAGGAAGGAGGTCTGCGAAAGGCCGGCCAGAGACAGCCTCCCGTGTAGAGCTGGAGCTGGTTGGCCAGCCGGAGCGTTGCGCCCTCCGAGGCGCCGTTCCCTTCGCCTCGGCGCACCGGGCTTGCAGGCAGACCGTTTCCTCCGCGCTCGCTTCTTTCTCTTTCTCGGGCTCTCGGACGCCTCTTTCTCCCCCCCCTCCGAACTCCCCACTCCCAACCCCTCGGGTCGAGGGAAGCCAACCTGCTTCTGGAGGGGATCTCGCCCCCCCAAACCCCTCCCCCCTGCGAAATCCCGCCCGCCCCTCTCTTTCCAATTTCATTTTGTTTTTTCCCCCTCCCGTGCGCCTTTGGAGTGAACGAAGAAAATAGGTGTGCGGGGGGGTGGGGGAGAGGAATCCGATCTTGGGGGGCGGGCGGTGGAAGAGGAGGAGGGGGGGGCTGATCGGCGTTGTTCTGCGCGTGCACGTGCCTGGCCAAGCAAGCGAAGAAGCGGGCGAGCCCGAGAAAGGGAAAGGGGCGAAGGCGCACGGCTGTTCCGGCCGTGGGAAGGAGGAGATCTGCGTTCTCTCGTGGAAAAAAACAAAACAAGAGGGCCCCTTTTTTTTGCGACCGGGGTCCTCCTCTCCCGCTTCCCCGAGAGAGGATGGTGGCTCTTGCTGTCGCCGAGGCTGAAGCGACGGCCTGGAAGAGACCCCGCGTTGTGTGAGCGCGACAGCCGAGGTGGGGAGATCCGCGAGGATGCGGTGATTCGCCGCCGCTGCCACACGCCGGGCCAAAGGTAAACGCACCTTCGTTCAGCTTCGGTTGGCGCTGCCAGGAGCCAAGAGATGGGGGAGTGCGAGAGAAGGAGAGAGGGGCGATTGCGGGAAGGGAGGGGGGGTCTGCACGGCGCTGGCGAGGAGAAAGCTCCGGAGCAGGCCCAGCCGCAGCTCCCCAACCGTCAGGCCGGCTCGGGGGATGCGGAAGGCGGCCAAAGCAGAGCGTTTAAAAAAGGCAAAGGGGATTTCTCCCACGCATTGTTTGCGCCTTGATGAGACCAGGCCGCTCAGCCGAAGCCGGCTCCAGCTGCCGGATTCGGCCGAGCGGCCTGGTAGCTTCCAAGCGTTGGTTGTGCGCGCCTCTTGCTCCAAACTTCAACGGGGGGGGGGGAGGATCGGGGCTTTAGAAGGCGCGCAGTGTTAAGCCTGGAAAGAAGCCCCCCCCCCGATTTTCTGATTCCTTGCCTCTTTTAGATCGAAAGTCCCCTAAACCCCCTTTATGGCTCCCAACTCCCGGGGAAGAGAAACGTCGTAACGAGCACAATAAAAAACCCAAACCCAGCGCTCTTTTTGATCGTACGGGCTTGCCTTCGCAGTGCGGCCGATTCTCCATTCCCCTCTCCCCCAAAGCGGCGGTTTTCCCCGAAGCCCCCTGGCTCGGGCGCGAGCGGTGGTCCCCCCACCCACCCCCAAGACCCCTTTCCCCCCACACGAAAACGCCTCCTTCTTCTTCGTTGTTTTCGTGCAGGCCTTTCCTTACCCGATCTAGGAAACATCAAGCCCGAGTTACAATAAATAAAAATAAATAAAATGAAATTCCCTGAGCTACAAATATTCCCCTTTGCTGGCTTTTCCTTCTCTTTGGAATAGCCCGTTTCCAAAGAAGAGTGGAGAATTTAGCCGGCCGCGGTTTGAAATGACCTCGGTGCCCCCACGGTCCTTAGCGAAGAGTGAGCCAACTCTCCCGTCCCATCAATTTCTCAAGTCACTCTCCCTTCCCTTGCAGGTCAGCTGGAAGCCAAAAGCTTNAAATATAATAAACTCAACTCAACTCAACTCATGCTGCAAGCTTCCTCCCCAACTGACTTCCCAGCTGAAGAACTCCGTGGAACTCAAAATCTGGCTTTTCCAATCCCCTCCCCCCCTCCCGCCCCCCTCTAAACAATCCAGATACCAAGTGGAAGCAAATCAACCCCTTCCCCAAATAAAAACCACTTTCCCTCCTGGCACACACCCCTTCTTTAATCAACTGCTTAATGGACCTTACGGACGGACGCCGAGAGGAGCGCAGCTAATCTACAAGGGCCAAACAGGGCGCCCATCAAAGCTTCTTGACCATCTGAAAGGGAAAGAGAAGAGAGAGATAAACCCTTTTACTTATACACACACAGACAAAGAGAGAGAGAGAGAGAGACCACGCACCTAGGCAAGGAGAGAGAAAGGCTGCCTACCAAGTTAAAAAGGACACGCAGAGAAATCTCCCTTGCTCTTATCCTAACGTTAGAGAGCTTAGTATAGTGTAGGGTAGCATAGAGTAGAGTAGTGTAGGGTAGTATAAGGTAGTGTAGGGTAATGTAGTGTGTAGTATAGTATAGTGTAGGGTAGGGTAGGGTAGGGTAGTATAAGGTAGTGTAGTGTAGGGTAAGGTAGGATAGGATAGGATAGGATAGCCTTTATTGTCATTGTACATCATGTATACAACGCAATTGGTTTTAGCCTCACTGGTGCAATCCATGACCAAAAAAATTACAAACAGCATAAATAGTATAAAGAATAATCCCTATGCAAGGAATTAGGCTAAAAAAGCAGGAACCAAATTCAGCCTCTGGGCTCCATCCAACAGACACGCCCTTCCTGGAGTAAGCCAGACAGACAGCACCCATGAACTAAAACTCTTCTTCCCACATTGTCCCCCTTCACCGGACTTTCTTGATTTGGAAGGCAGTGGAGCATTAGAGTCACAGAATCCTTGAGCTAGAAGGGACTTTGGAGGTGTTCTAGTCCAACCCCTGCCCAAGGCAGGAGTCATTATACCATCCCAAAGAAATGGGATGGTCTGTTTTTGAAAACCTCCAGTGATGGAGCATCCATAACTCCAGGAGACAGGCTTAGATTAATTGTTATATCCGAACGTTTCTCTTTCTTTTTCTAGGTTGGATCGCTCTTTAATTATCTTCCACCCATGATGTCAACATCCAGCTTGAGTATCCAAACAAAAGTTCTATTCCTGTTTTCTAGTGCTTTGTCAACCTCCTCTTCTCCGCAACAGCCCCTCGAGTATTGGAAGACATCATGTCCCCCCAATCCTTCTCTTCCACAGGATATGGTTTAGTCTTCAGGGCCCTTATCATCCTTGGTGCTTTTCTCTGCACTCTTTCCAGGGTCTCCTCATGAAGGCACTTAGCTGAGCTTTTGAGAAGTACTTGAGGGGAGGATGGGCAAGGAGTAAACGAGAATCCTGCAATCCAAATTTTGAATTGCAAATATTTATTCATATACTGGATTGGACCTCAGGAGAGACCTGTGTATACACACCTCCGCAGCCCAAACCTTGGAGAATTCAGGAAGTAAAAGAAAGCCTAGTCATTCTAAATCTCCTTCTCGGGACCCATCTGTCCAACTCATCACTGCGACAACGTTCCTCCAGGCCTTCCTGCCCTCTACCATCCTCTGGAGTTCATTCAAACTCATGCCGACTGGTGACTCCATCCAGCCCCCTCCTTCTCTGCCATCCCCTTCTTCTTTTGCTCTCCATCGTCCCTTTCTTCTTTTGCCTTCCATCGTTCCCAGCATGAGGCTCTTCTCCAGGGAGTCCTTCCTTCTCATTA